TTTTGAAATGTAGTTTGGCACATACATTTAAAACATACTTATTTCTATTCCTTTTCATGTACATATTCTTCATTTTGCTTTATGACAACCCTAACAGCAACAACAACCCTTAACTGTGTTAAAATCACTGGCCTCTCGTGGCTTATTGCTTTAGTATAGAGTTGAGAACACAACCTTGCACAAAGATGCTTAATCTGGACAGCTTTTAAAGTTGGGATGTTCAGATTTTTGGCTTGAGTAATGACTGAGGAAAATTATAAATCCATATGTGAAGGAAGAGAGGAGTGTGCATACTGTTGTCTTTTGTCCTGCAAAGGGATGCATGGTAAGAGGAGAGGCTGGCAGGCATTGTTTTAAAGACAAAGATTGGAATGGGGGTTGGGTGGGACACTTGAGGAATGTGCTTTGTGTTCTTCCTCAACAGATAAAGGCTCCTGGAGCAAACACACGCAGCTAAGACAGACAATCACAGACCCCGAAAACTTCACGCAGCAAACATATAATTTGCTGAAGCATTCAGAAGAGCTTACCACAGTAAGGACATCATGATCTCTTGTTCACTCTTCCGCCCTAATAATATGGACCCATCATTAATACTATTTCTATTTGACAGTAGTTTCTTGTTTCAGTTTCTTACAGATTAACAACTTTGATCATATAGGTTTTAGATGCAGCCTCAAAAATGCTTTTTTAATGTCAAAAAAGGCTGTCAACATTTCAGAATCAAATAAGAAAATAGCATAATTTTTTTCTTTTTTGATTCTGAAATGTTGACAGCTTTTTGACATTTAAAAAGCATTTTTGAGACTACAAAGTAGCTTAATTTTTGACTCCGCCCAAAAATCTTACTGAATAAATAAATAAATAAAACCATGGTAGTATATATTGTACTACTTTTAATGTCAATTTTAGTACAAGTATTGCGTCCAGACTAGAAATCTACCAATATTATTTTTTGCACGACAAACAATTCTATTTGGTTATTATATACACATTTATGATAACTGATATGCAGAATGTTTATTTGAAATACTAGTAATTTTTTACTTTTGAATAATATTAAATACATAATTATTGAAACATTTCATCAATACAATATCAATATGCATTATAAATATTGTTGTTTTTGTTCTTTTTTTGATTCAAAGTTATTTTATACAGTGACTGGGAGGGGATGTCTTCTGATTGACTGATGATCGGATCTGCTTGATCAAATCACGGTGATCGCATGGTAATGCCAAGTGTAAACACAGCCTATGTCGTGGCCACGACAAAACTAAGTGAACCAAAGACGTCCCCTCCCGGTCACCATAATTTTACGATCTAAATGGTAGCATATTCATATTTATTCTATATTTGTTTTGGGCTACATCTTGAAATGCTGCTTGTTTGTCAGTTTAGAAAAACTTTCAAGTGATTGATCAGAAAAGTGTGAACATCTTTTTAGAAAAAGAAGAAGAAAGAAGATAGAGGTTAAACTAATGGTGTAATTCTAAATTCTACACTGCAAAAAAAAAAAATCTGTAAAATTTAGCTGTGGTTGCCGGATTTTTTGCGTAAAAAATATGGTAGCAAGATTTTAGGTTTTACGGTTTTAACTTAAATTTACAGTTAAATACCGTAATATCATTAGCTGATATATTGTTACCCTCCTGGGGTCGACGGTGGCGCCAGCAGCACCACTTGCAGATTTGAATGATAATGGTATATGCGCAACGCTGAACTCATACGTCATCCGCCCAGAGCTGCTTCCGTGTACAACTGTTGGCGCAAGCTAGATTAAAGTGATTATTACGTTTTGAATATGGATATTTTTCTTACAAAAACGCATCGATTCGCTACAGGAGGCCTTTGTTCACACCCGGAGCCATGTGAGACACTTTTTTTAAAAATGGATGGGCACTTTTTATTTAACTTCTTTTGGACTGATGAATGCAACACCCGCTGAGTGGCAGCTTGAAAGATCAAAGACAATTTTTAATATAACTCCGACTGGATTCGTCTGAAAGAAGAAAGTCATATACACCTAGGATGACTTGAGGGTGAGTAATTTATGGGCTAATTTTCATTTTTGGGTGAACTACCCCTTTAAATTCACGGTAATTTTTTACAGTGTAGTTGGGACAGTGATTTTCATCCATTTACTCCATTTCAGCAATGAGAGTCTAAGGATAAGTAGCTTTGAGTACATATTAGAGATAATTAGCTTTGAGAATTAGAAGCAAACAAGTAAACCATCAAGGCGCATTACTGCATTAATGAATTTCAGGGGAAAATACTAATAATTGTCATTAAAAGACTGTAAACAGTCTTAATTGTTCTAAATTACTTTGTTTCTTTATGCAATATATTATTTCTTTTGATCTATTTTGATTTTGGGATGTAAGTTTACCTGGACATGTTTCCATGAGATTTACTAAATACCATTGCATGCCAGATGTGTTTGCAAGAATTGGATAAATACACTTAAAGACAGACAACCAAGGAAGCTGCAACATGGGAGAAAAAGAGAGAGATGAAGCCACAGGAAGATGGAAGGTTTAAGTCAAGTACATTTTCAAGGAGTCTTGAGAAAGAACTGGTTCTTTCTTCTGAAGGGATTGGGGACGAGATCCATTGGTGTAGACACAAACCGGGGGGAGGGGAACTCTAAGCCCCATTCCCAAATCTCACTTGCACCTCTGCAGAGCAGAGAAGGTCATTGTATCTTCAGGGAGGAATGCTTAAAACTAGAATGTACAAGAAATCGGATCACCCCAAAACAATTATGGAAATATGCATCCATCAGGTGTATGTGTACGTGTGCGCAGACAGTGGCATATTTGGTCAGAGATAAAAGGATCAAGGAGGAACTTGGGAAAAATTGGTGAAACGGAAAGAGAGCAAGAATTAAAAGGGTCATATCCATTTTTTATTTATTTAGATTTTTCTCTAAGGGTCGACTTAGAATGTCTGTGAAAGATTTCATGCGCCAAAAGCAGGCATAATTTAGTTTTCATGACCATTTTACACTCTCTCTGACCCTTAGAATCTAACATCCTTCTTAATTCAACAGTTTATCTTTTCTGCTGTGCTTTGAAAGCATATGTAAATGTGCTCTTTAGCTTTCCTTTTTTCTGTGCTTACAGGTTGCTGTAAGTTTGCTGTCAGATCCTGTTTTGATGCCCCATCTTTCAGTAACATTCTCTTTGCAAATCTGTATAACATTGCAAAATGTTCACAAACAATCTGTGATACGAAATGTGGCACTCAAATGGTTATAATCAGATTGAAATAACCAGGAATCTAAATCTCAAAAATAAACTTCAGCCACCCATTCTCAACATTTTGGAGCCTCAAAAGGTTCTGCAGAGCGGAAGGTGCTACACACAGTCAAATTTTAGCAGACTTTACCACATTTTACTTTTCTCAACAGGTCCTCTTGTATTTACAAATAATAGTATCCATCATACTTCTTACCTCACAGGTGTGACACATTTACCGTTCAGTGAATTTTCACAGGCAAAATTAAGTCTTTTTTATACGAATCCATGCGATTGGGAATTGGGAACTGGGGCGAATGATTTCCCCATGCAGATTTTACAACGGGTTCAAGTTGGTAACATTTATTCACCTTGTTTACCAACAAAATACAATGAACTTATTGCATACATGCATGCTTTTTACATTGTACTCACATTGAAAAATACCTTCCTGTAATTACAATTTACCCACCGAACCATCTAACATTAAGCGTATCCCATCTAAATAGCAGAAAATGTAATTTGCAATTCAACATGAACACAATAGGTACATTGTACCTAACCATATTTTGACATAAATAAATAGTAGTGAAACCCATGTGATTCTTTGTTGTTAAAAAGATAAGCAAGAAGCACAGAAAACTATTCAAAACGAGATTAAATGTATACTTTTTATTGTAACAGAAACCCAGATTACACTGACAAAGAAAATGAATCTTTTTACATAAATCAAGATATATTTATACAAATACAAGAGGCAACAGAATAAAAGTCCCTGGTTTGTTCTTATGGGTCTCCAATGTGAAGACCAAATCCTCCAACCCATAAACTCACGTGTGGTATGAAAGGGTGGCTTTTGAATCTTGTGGTTAGTTGATGATGGACACCAGCTTCAAGTTGGTGAGTCAATAAACAAAACAGTATGGCACACGTTCAAAGGTCGTTTCGAGTCTTTCGGCTACTCATAAAACAACAGACAGTCTTTTATTTGGTCTCTTTTTAGTGCCAGTCAAGTGTTGCAGATCTCTATGTGTGTGTGTGTGTGTGTGTTTGTGTGTATTTGTATAAGCATGTATATTTCGCATATTTTATCCACCAATGGAAACTCTGCGTCATTCATGTCTTTCTCTTCAGAAAAAAAGTGCCAAGACTTTTGTGCTTGTTTTTCTTATTGCTGCTCACATACACACTCACACACAGAGTGCATCATTTAAAAACAGAATACCAATTACTTGGCACTTAGTGTGTGTGAGTATACGTCCGTTCATGCACAGCAGCACATCCTTAAAACGAAGGATGAAGTCGTCATTAATAATCTTATACTTGTATCCAAATTCTTGCATTATAAAGATCATATTTCTCATCTTTTGCTGTATATCCTCCTTCAGTCTCTTCAGTATGAAAGTCTCCTTTAGAAAAATACTCTGCAAAAATGGAAATACTTCATCACTGTCTTTGCATTATGATGTCAGAGCAAGTCTTTGCTTTTGGATTACATCATGTGGCTCCCAAAAATGTTGAAATGGTGGAGGTTACATCCCTACGAGGCCCGTTTGATATCACAAATGAAGCTTTGTAATATTAGTGGTATTACAGTGATAGCTCCGACAGGTTCCCGGACTGGTTCCCTTTAGGTAGTCTTGGAAGCAAGTAAGCCATTTGATCCTTACGTGACCCGGTAAAAAAGGAAGTACAAATGTTCCTGATTGTGAGTGGGTAGGTTACATGAAGGTTCTTGGGCAACTCAACAAGCGTTTGTGTGTGTGGATGGTTCACTCAGTAGAGCACATTCCCTGGAGTTTTGTTTTGAATCCCAAGAGCCTCAATGCTGGACAGAATCTTCTTCTGATGACCAGCCAGAGTTATTCCCAAACGCAGCAGATCCCTGAGAGGCGGAAGCAGAGAGAAATAAAAGTTTAATAAAGAATTAGATCTTAGCTTTTAATGTAACAGCAGCGATGAGCTTAGAAAAGATTAGATTGTGGTGTTTACATATTTAAAATGAATAAAGATATGCACTACGGTTCAAAAGTTTGGTTTCCAATTTTTTAAAATAATTTAACTCCGCAAGGATGCATTACATTGGTCAAAAGTGAGCGTCAAGACTTTAAAATTGTCACAAAAGTGTTCTAAATCAGTTCAATTCAAAGCACCAAATCAGCATATTAGAATGATTTTTGGTCATGTGACACTGAAGACCGATGCTGAAAATTCAGCTTTGTCATCACAGGAGTAAATTACATTTTACAATATATTCAAACAGAAAAACATTATTTTATTAATTAAATGGATTTGTAATCAAATGCAGACTTGCTAAAAATAAGAGACTTCTTTCAAAAACATTAAAAAAGTTATATAATGTAATCTTTTTATTTAATTTCTTTGTTACATTTTAATAACATTTGTTTTTATTTTAATACCTAATTGGGTAAAACAAATTGTGCAAATAAGTAAATGAAATGAATATGTTCTAGGGACAAATGATATATTAGTGAAAATATATGTATAATATTTAATCAGCTTTAGTGAACTTCAGAGACTTCAGAAACAATTTACCAACTCCAAACTTTTTAATGGAATTATAAAATAAAATAAAATAATACTTTTAATTAAAAAAACATTTTCTATGTCTTTGTTTATTAACATTTATTTTTATTGTTATAAATTTGACTGCAAATTTATTTATTTACTCTTCACAGAGGATTTTTTTTTTTAATCTTCCTTGTAATTAAGTACTATGTTGCTGTCTATTATAACTGGATTTCAGTATATTCGACAAATGAAAGATGTTGTTGAATGAAGGTGCCGTTCTCTTCACTCACTCTGTGGTGATGTGGGCGAGCAGCTGCATGGACGTGTACCCAGCCTGTAGAAAGCTCTCCTCGTAACGCTCCATCTTAATGGCCCTGAGCCAGTCTCCCACTGTCCCACAGGATGTGGGCGTCAGAGGGGAACGCTGGTCTAACAGAGGGTGAGAGGGTCTGAGGAGCAAGAGAGAGCCAAGTGTTAAAACGCATGTAATTGTCCATATTAAGATGATGTCTTGAGTCGGCCTGCAGGAACAAACGGAGGAAGACTTTGACAGCTTTCCCTTGAGGAGAGGGGGAGGGCAAAGACCAAAATGTGACGGACAGATATGTGGTCATACTGAGTCTTGATTGACAGACTGACAGGCCGACATGCTGAGAGGGGAGGGGCAAGACTAACATACAAGAGGCCATACTGTGTGTACAAGAGCGAAGCTAATGAAATGACGGACAGAGTGAGATGCCACTAAACCTAAAACAGGAACTGCTATGTTCTTGATTGACAAGCATTGTTGGGTAAATGCATACTGTAATCACATTACTCACATTTTTTTTTTTATCTGTGAAAATGCTAATGGCCTAAGACTTTTGCACAGCAGTGTATTCTTCAGTAATCTGGTTACTGTCTGACATTGATTTTGGGTTGACACAGTAACATAAAACCGATAGCAACAGAACTAAAAAATGAAGTGTACTTGAATTTATTTGATTCTAAATAAAAAAAATCTATTGGCAATTTCATGCATGCTTTCTATTGAAAAAAAAGTAGTAACAAAGATGTAGATTTATTTGTCAGGTCTTTGTGGTTTTTGGACCTTTTGCTGTGGCTTTTTGAAACTGAACTGAAATGATAAGTGATATAGGGCTGTAATGGATATGAAACGTACCCTGCCCCCTCTTGGGCGGTGATTTTAAGCGAGGCAGGATTGCGAATCAGCTTGTCGAGTGCTGAGACGATGTTGGAAAAGCGTGGCCGTGCCGTCCGCTCCTTCTGCCAGCAGTCCAACATCAGCTGGTGCAGGTGAGTGGGACAGTCAGGAGGAGGAGGCAGCCGGTAATCCTGCTCAATGGCATTAATCACCTGATTGGGTAAAACAGATTATGTTAATGAAGAGAAGATATATTACTGAAAACACATGTATAATGACAATATGTATAATGTGACCCTGGACCACAAAACCAGTCATAAGGGTACTACTAATCAACAATTAAGTTTTGATATATTTACAGTAGGAAATTTACAAAATGTCTTTATGGAACATGATCTTTACTTAATGTCCTAATGATTTTGGGCATAAAAGAAAAATCAATAACTTTGACCCATACAATGTATTTTTGGCTATTGCTACAAATATACCCCAGCGACTTAAAACCAGGGTCCAGGGTCACATATTAGCACTTTTAAAATATTATTGTTTCATTCTGATTAGGCTGATATTGTAAACATCTTTTTTGTAATGTACACCATTCAACATTTGGGGTTGGTAAGATTTTTGAATAACAACAGTCTCTTTTGTTCATCAAGGCTGCATTTATTTGATTAATAATTCAATAAAAACAGTAATATTGTGAAATATTATTATAATTTAAAATAGACATTGTCTATTTGAATATAAGTTAAAATTTAATTTATTTCTGTGATTCAAAGCTGAATTTTCGTCATCTTGACGCCAGTCTTCAGTGTCACATGATCGGAAATCCTTCTAAATCATGCCGATTTGCTGCTTAAGAAACATTTCTGATTATTATCAATGCTGAAAACAGTTGTGCTGCTTCATATTTTGTGGGAACCATGATACAGTGGTGTGAAAAAGTGTTGGCCCCCTTCCTGATTTCTTATTTTTTTGCATGTTTGTCACACTTTAATGTTTCAGATCATCAAACAAATTTAAATATTAGTCAAAGATAACACAAGTAAACACAACATGCAGTTTTTAAATGAAGGTTTTTATTATTAAGGGAAAACAAAATCCAAAACTACATGGCCTTGTGTGAAGAAGTGTTTGCCCCCCTGTTAAAACTGTGGTTTATCACACCTGAGTTCAATTTCTCTAGCCACACCCAGGCCTGATTACTGCCACACCTGTTCGCAATCAACATCTGTTCGTGACCTCAAGCTGAAGTGAACTTGGGTTCTGCAGCAGGACAATGATCCTAAACACACCAGCAAGTCCACCTCTGAATGGCTGAAGAAAACCAAAATGAAGACTTTGGAGTGGCCTAGTCATAGTCCTGACCTGAATCCTATTGAGATGCTGTGGCATGTGGCTGAATTACAACAATTCTGCATAGATGAGTGGACCAAAATTCCTCCACAGCGCTGTAACAGACTCATTGCAAGTTATCGCAAACGCTTGATTGCAGTTGTTGCTGCTAAGGGTGACCCAACCAGTTATTAGGTTTAAGGGGCAAACACTTTTTCACACAGGGCCATGTAGTTTTGGATTTTGTTTTCCCTTAATAATAAAAACCTTCATTTAAAAACTGCATGTTGTGTTCACTTGTGTTATCTTTGACTAATATTTAAATTTGTTTCATGATCTGAAACATTAAAGTGTGACAAACATGCAAAAAAATAAGAAATCAGGAAGGGGGCCAACACTTTTTCACACCACTGTATATTTAAGTTTTCAGGATTTTAAATGTAAAACAGAATATTTTGTAACATTAAAAATGTCTTTACTCTCACTATTGATCAATTTAAAGTGACCTTGCTGAATAAAAGTATTAATTTCTTCAACAACAACAAGAAAAAAAAAATCTTACTGACCCCAAACCTTTCAACCTTTCAAAATGAAAACATTTTGCCTATTGGCCATAACAAAAGTAACTATCAACCACAGGTAGTGGACACAATTTCTATTGCATCTCTGATTCATTAAAATGTCAAATATCACAACCACATACATCTTGATTGCTCATGTCCCAGTATGGCCGCTCTCCGAACGACATCACTTCCCACATGACAATTCCGTAACTCCATACATCTGATGCAGAGGTAAATTTACGGAATGCAATGGCCTCGGGTGCCGTCCAACGGATTGGAATTTTACCACCCTGAAAAAAAGCATTTTAGAATAAATCATGATGCTTGTATTGCTAGACGTGCCTGCTTGCATTTTTCATGTGAAGTACTTAATGTTTCTTAAGCATTTGCTCTTACCAGTGAGCTGGTGTACGTAGGATCAGATGAATTCTCTTGCAGGAATCTCGACAGACCGAAGTCAGACACCTTGCAGACCAGGTTACTGTTGACGAGAATATTCCGAGCAGCAAGATCACGATGTACGTAGCTCATTTCAGAGAGATATTTCATTCCCGACGCGATGCCACGCAGCATGCCGACTAACTGTATTGGAGTAAACTGACCGTCATTGAGCTGGAGAGAAAGAAAGATCCATGTCAGTCAGACTTTGTGTACGAGAGCCAATGAGATGGTTTCGTCAACAAACGTGTAGCACTAGATCCAGCGCATACTTACTCTCAGGAAGGAGTCCAGAGCTCCATTCTCCATGAACTCAGTGAGGATCATGACCGGGCAGCTGGCTGTTATTATGCCTTCCAGGTGGATAATGTTGGGATGCTGGAACTGGCCCATGATTGAGGCCTCAGACAGGAAGTCCCGCCTTTGCTTGTCTGTGTATCCACCCTTAAGAGTCTTAATGGCAACATAGTTCTCCTTCTTACCCGGAATCCTCAGTCGTCCACGACAGACTTCTCCAAACTCGCCTGAGAACAGCAAACAAACCGCAAAAAAAACAAGGGACTCAGCTTTGGGAATTTTTCAATCTTTTCATGCAAATCATTTTTTAGTCCTAACACGTTGCGACTGTAATAAGCCATGAGCAACAAGACAAGACTTTTTAGGGTTGCTTGGTGTTAATATTAATATATTAAACTTTTCATAATTTATAATACTGACACAGTTGAACGGAAATGACACAACACAGAACTAAATTGAGCTGAATAATAACACGATTTCCTTATGTAAAGGCGCTTTACTGTTGAAATTGACATAACTGATGAACTCTGTAACACTGTCACAGTTATTAAACTGAACTGAAACAACAGTATTCAGCTCAATTTAGTTCAATGACACTATTGTCTTCTGTAGAGCTGCTTTACAGCTAAAATTTATGAATTGCACCAAATTAACCATGTTATTTTCATGTTTGATACTGTGAAGCTGCTTTGAAACAATCTATCTCAATAATAATGTGACTGTATGTCAAATATCAAAGAATCAGTTCAACATAGTATGCTTTTGTTGTATCTTTCAAATGACTGAAACTAAATATGTGACTTTATGTCTGAAATTGAAATATGTCCAAAAGAAGACACACTGTGTCTTACCTGCCCCAATAACCTCCTCGATTTTGACACACGAGACATCAATCTCCTTAGCAAACTCTCTCACGGCCTCATTAGGGTCTTCATAAGTGAATGGATCAATGTAAACTTTCACTCCTTAGAGAGAAAAATATCAGTTACTCCATTAATCAAAAAATCCAGAACTTAACCAGAATGCATAATTATAAGATGTTGTGTGTTGCTGTGCTCACCTTGACCCATGAGATATTGGCCATTTTTGTCACTCATTTCTGGATCTTTGAAATGACTTTGCTTCCTGTGAACAGAAAAGTGAGTCAGTGTCTGCTTTATGATCTAAACAAAATGTTACCAAATATGTAGGACTACTTTTGATGATAAACACTGGTGACAAATGCAAAACTCCTTTTAGGTTTTTGGCTGATTAAATAAGAAATGTTGATTCTAAAAGCATTTCATTCAATAGTAGAATGTATTAATCGTGTGTTCCATTTGAGCACTGTGTTATTAGCTTAGCCACATGCTAATGTTAGATTGCATAAATTGGTTGTAAACTTTGTGTGCAGTCTGTAGTTTTTTAGCAAGGGCGGAAAAATACTTGACACTGGAAACTTGTTGTGTCATGCCTGATTTGGGCACAGTGTGAGGCTTTATGCTTGTGTTTCATGTTTGTTTTTGTCCTGTGTTGTCATATTACTCTGAGCAAAGAATGAATTGAATGCATACAAAATCCCTTTCTCCACCCCATTCTTCCTCTTCCTGTGTCTTTTCTTGTGTGTCTGTTTCTCACCTCAGGCTCTGGGTCCTTATTCAAACCTTTTCATAGTGTATTATACTCTAACATCATCTTAAATTACTCAAGTTGTTCTAGCCCGTTCTCCTTGATATTCTTGTTATTTTCTTCTCTCTCTTTTCACAGAATGTCCTTCTCGTTCCTTCTTTGTGTTTTGGATGCTTGCTAATGGCTCAAAACTGTATTCAGAGAACCTTATTGTTTTTTGACTTAAGGTTAAAAGGAAAAGGTAGGCGTTGCTTAAAAGTCATTCTTAAAACAAAATACATTGGCTTTAGAAGTATAACTGTGCAAGATTTAAAAAAAATTTTTTTTTGTTACCCTAAAAACACCCAAGTTGATTCAGATTCACTTTTGTTTATCTTAAGGCATTTTAGGAGAAACATCTAAAACAAAAGTTAATACTTTGATTATTTAAAGAAAACATAACTTAGAACCTCAGGGCTTTGAAAAACTTTTTCAACATCTATCCCTGATTTCCCAGGACTAAAATAGCTGCGTTTGTCCCACCCAGTGCTGATGGCAGGTCTGGACCGGAGGCTCGCAGTGTGTGTGTGTGTGTGTGTGTGTGTGTGTGAGAGAGAGAGATTGATTGTAGGGACTCTCCATTTAACTGGGTGTGAAAGTTTGTATATGTAATGTGTGCAATTGTGAACAATATATGTAAACCCCTAAACAGGCACGCTCCTGTAATCTTAACTGTGCATACGTGGGCATACATACATCCCATTTATCAGCAATATCTGAGTTTGCGTGTCCACTGGAGTGTAAGAATGTAAAAAGTTTGTTCATTGTGTAAGTACACTTGCGCTTAAAGAGAGGTGTGTGTGTGTGTGTGTGTGTGTCTGTGTGTGTGTGTGTGTGTGTGTGTGTGTG